CACTTGTAAGCAGGTGGTCAAGTATTCATTCCGCAGGAGCTCTGTTCTCTTTACTTTTAATAGCTAGAGAATGGGACCTGCGTTCTGAAAATCTGCCCCCTTTAGAAACATGGTGGTGAGCAGCAGGGACATGGTGAACTGGGGTTGAGCACCTCTGTATGCTGTTTCTAATCCTGTCACCTGATCTGTGTAAAGCCACAGAACTCTTTGGGGAGACAGTGATAGGGTTGGATGAGCCAGGCTAACGGTGCTGTTTCACATTGCCACCACATTTGTGGGTATTGCTTTCTATAAAGCTAATGCTTTGTAACAATATGAAGATGGAAAGGTGCCACCATGCCAGGGCTCTAGGTTTGCTGACAAATGCTGGCAGGCCTCCTTCAGGTGCCTCCCACACAGGACACACTGCTGAGTCATCACTTCAGGCGTCTAGTCTTCGTGATACTGTGTAAGAGTTCTGTGTGGCCAAAGTCAAAAGGGCACAAGTTTGTTAACCTCTGTCTGACCCTATTAAAAACCTGCTGGAGTGTGACTTAGCCTGTGTAAACCAAATGTGTTGGCTGGGAGCCCATCAAGATTCTGAGTCTCCTGTTCAACCAGGAGGTAAGCAGGAGGGGAGATCTGTTTTACTCCTTTTAGTCTCTGGGAGGGATTTGGGTAATCCAGAGCATGGCTTGTGCTTTGAAGATGCTAAAATGCACATCAGGGGCCTTGAAAACTGATGTCTTCAGAGCGTCATGAAAAGACGCTCAACTCTTAAGAAGGTATGATCTGATCTCTGAGCCTGAGTGTGGATGTCCCTTGGGGAGATCACTTAGCATCTTGGGGCCTGTTTCCCTCTAGAATAAGAGTTTTCAATGAATAATTTTTCACTTTTCTTTGACCCCTGACAAGCTCAGATTCTGTGTGATACTGCAACTTTAGGAGATAGGCCACTGGGTATCTTGGATGTCAAACCACATCTGAGAAAAATCAAGCAAAATTTAATACATCCAATCTTGATTCAGAGAAATGAGAGTGTGTTATGGGCAAAAATTCTACTTTAGGCTTTCCCTTAATCCAGGGATATTTGCTGTGTGCATGAGAATAGCATGTGTAGGGAAACCATTGATTATGGGGGCTCAGAATCTTTACTGTAGTTTAAATTTTTTTTTACCTGGAACTTCTATGTGAAGGTTTCAGGGTCATAATATTTTAAATGAATAAAGTATAGCCAGATCTAAAAGTAATTGAATGTTTTTAGTTCTTATGGGAAGTTTAATTATCCATGTGATCTTAGGACCTAGTGTTATTGCCTTGTGTGGAAGTTAGTGTTCATTCTTTCCATGTAGCCCGTTTATGGAACTAAAGTACTAAAGTTTATGGAACTAAGTACAACTTGCTAGTTGTACTGTAGGATTTTCTGTCACAGAAGCTTAGAATTTGGCAGGTGTCTTGCCTTTAGATGTCCGTACCTTGCTAACACCATTTTTCTGAATGTTCCCTGTTATACCGGCTCATATTTAGAATCACCTTTTGCGTACTGTTCTTTCTTTCATTGACTCATCCCAAGGACTGTTTCCCTTGACAGCCGGAGGTCAAATGCCGGTTCTACAGAGGGATAACTGAAGTTTGGGTGCTGGGACCGCAAGCAGCCGAGTGATGGTAGCCAGGATCCTTTCACTCTTTTATCACCAGTGGGTGGACAGATGTGCTCTGCTGTTCAGGGGCCGTCCTTGCTCAGGGCTGGTGTAGGTTGTCACGTGCCCCGGCAGGGGAATGGTGCCCCGGCACAGGCCGTTTCTCAGAAAGAAAACACACATCCTGTGGATGATTAATCTGTGTGCTGCCGAAAGCCACAAATGATTAAAACGCACGTCATGGAAGGTTTTGTATAGTGTCATAAAACTTTATTGATAGTCTTAATAAGTGTAACGCATTCAAGAAGAGCGTAGATGGATGAAATGAGCCCAGCAGACAGGAAGGGGAGGACATGTCAGCAGGGTAATGATTTCCACATGAAATCTACCTGGGGCCAAAGCAACAGAGATGTTTAGCTACAGAACAGTTACGGTGCCTTTGTGTGGGTTCTAGTTCCTAAAATTTCAACTTTCTCCATTTATGCTTCCAGCTCGATTCTATCCGCTTCAGAAAAGTCATTGTGGGGCTGTGTAACAACCCAATTCATGTTCCTTAGGACTTTCATCATATCTGGAGCTTCTGTAATCGCCTTCTGAAACAGACACTTCTTTTCAATACTTTAATAGTGTTTTAGATAAAGGCAAAATAATTCATAGCCCTGCCTGATGACGAGGTGGGTACTTAGGCTGGCAGTTCATTTGCCCCTCTCCCTTTCCTCCTCCTTCCTTCCCGCCTCGACCCCTTCTCTCCCTTCCATCTCTTCTGTTACTCCCTCCTAGCTTTCCTTCCTTCTTTAAAAAGGGAAACGGGATTAAACTGGTTTATTTTGTTGCATAATCTTTCCTGAAGGCCTCCAGAAGTAATTCCAAGTGGTTCAGGACTATTATAGGAATGGCATGTTTTGCAAGCTCATGACGGTGGATGCTTTTCTTGTAGTTTGTTAAAGTGCCGGTTTTGTAAGTATATTCCATAGACTAGGGATTTGGGTTGGGTTTGGAGTTATTGTCAACTATAGGAAGCCTAGATATCATCTTCAAAGTGATGACGAATTCAGGGAAGCCACACTGACTGGAACAGAGCCAAGGATGAAGAAGATGCCATGAGGGAGCTAAGTTGGCTAGAGGTGCTGCACTCTACTGATTGAGGATGCTCAAAGAGAGGAGGAGTGGGGCATGTGGGAGCTTAGTTGGCCAGAGATGCTGCACTCTACTGAGGATGCTCAAAGAAAGGAGGAGCTTGGGGCATATGCTGGACACAAAAAGGAACAGGATCTGTTGAATCCCATGTTTCTATGAGACCAAGGGCAATCTGCAGGAAAGCCTGTGGGGGCCTACAATGTTGCTTAAGTATTACTTCTGATCAAAATTACTAATATAATGTTAAGCAAATAATTTAAGGTTTCTCCTTCCTAATCCACAAAGTTAAATTATGGAAGCAAATGGTCTTAGGGTTTCTTCACAGATTAAAATATACCTTTATAAGGGATGTTTGACACATATCTTCAAATATTTGAAGAATGCTCAGGCAAAAGGAGGACTAGACTAAGACCATAAAAAATATCTCAAGAGGAAACAAGTTTTGAAGAGTTGCAAAGGGGTTGGAAATCAGTTTTAAATAAGACAGACTCGTGAGATGGCAGCCTCGAGGGTGAAGGACACCATAGCAAGTTCCATCAATAGGGATATTAAATAGATGCCTCGAGGACCCAGCCAATGATGCTGTAGAGAGAAAGCATCAATTGCAAGAAGCGACAAGCTAGTTGACTCGCAAAGTCTCAGTTCAAAATTCCAGGAATTTCTACTCTTCTGGAATCTTCTGGAATCGTCTGTGCTCGCAGCTGTGGCGCTCCAGCTGCAGACGACGGGGAATGGCAGGCAGAGCAATCCATGCCCTTCCTAAAATGAGGGTGCCCTTGAGGGGGTTGGTTCATGCTGCGTAGACATCTTTTCAGTTGCTGCAAGGATCTACATACCTCCCTGCAGCCTTGCTTAACCTAACCTAACCTGCAGCAAGCAACGTCCCCAGATGTGTGGAGGAAGAGTTAGAGGAGGGTTCCCTGAGCGGCCTCTCCACGGCTTTGCAAGGTGCCTTCTTGACTTCTTAGCAGAGGTTCATCTCACCAGCTGTCAGGCCCACAGTGCAAGAGTGGCATGTCGCACGAGCACGGAACTCGTCCTTATTGATTCCGTGGGCTTTGATGGTAAAGGGACATTAATTACCATCCGTCCAGTTGCACTAATGCGCTTGCAAAGAGCAAGCCTGTGGGGATTCCTAGTAAAGGAGCTGCTTCTTAGACCCAGCAGCTTGCAAGGGACAGGGTGGGCTGGAGGTGAATGTCCTGCAGGAAAACCATTCCACTGGTCTGAAATTAGTTGCTTCCAGAATTTCCACGAATTTATGCTTCTGTCCCCAGAGCACTGTATAAAAGAACTACTTCCCCCTCCCGACTCCTTTCCCCATACTCACTATTTTCTGCTCAGTGTGCAGCCAACAGAAGTCCTGGGTTCCAGATGCCTCTGGCCCACCACACTCCGGCAGTCTCACAAACAAGGGCTGAGCAAGGCCTTAGTAAGAATTGAAAGAGCATGCATGTTTGGGGGTGGAGACAGACCCTAAGCGCCTACATGCTACCTTTTTTTGGCAGAAAGTTGTCTTGGTACATAGCCATTTTCTTTTCTTGTCTCCATCTCCTCCACCCTTTCTTCCACCTCCTTTTTTGAATAATAATTGTTAACACTTAATGAGCACTTACTATGCACCAGACCCTATGGTAAGTGCTTAACCTAGTTGTCTCGTTTAAGCTTGCAGGCTTAATTAGGTGATCTTTATAGTGCCAGACTTTTTTGCAGATGTGTGTGTGGGGTCAGGCTCAAAATTGTAAATGAGGGCTGGAGAGACGACTCAGCAGGTTAGAGCGTGTGCTGTCCTTGTAGAGGACCCGGGTTCGGTTCCTAGAACCTGTTCTGGGTAGCTCACAAACCACCTGTGATTACAGCTGCGGGGGACCCAGTGCCGCCTTCTGGTCTCTGCAGGACCCTGCACACACGTGCATATACTCCTCCACACACACATAAACACATATGCATGTATACAATTTAAATGGGATAAAATCTGTTTTTCTTAATTATTTGGTCAAAGTCAGAGCCTTCGACTGAACTCAGATGAGCTGTCCTTATTTCAACTCTTGGTAATATTTTTTCACACGGTTCCTATTGTAAAACTTAGATGGGTATTGCATAATCAGGAGGAATTTGAAGAGTGCCAGCTAACTAACAGCCGTCTCCCTATACCTTTCGCTCAACCTAGCTGCCTTCTGCTTTCAAATGTTCTTTTTTTTTTCCTTTCGTACTTTTAACCTTCCTTTAATCTTCTCCTTCCAGGTATCTGATCAATGTCACTTTCGAGGGGAGAAACCTGTCCTTCAGCGAAGATGGCTACCAGATGCATCCGAAGCTGGTGATAATCCTTCTGAACAAGGAGAGGAAGTGGGAGAGGGTAGGACACTTCTTTGACAATCCTTGGGTTGAGCAGAATCAGGTGTGAGATCCCGACCTAAGAGGAAGCAATACAATGCCTCAAAGGAAGGCAGCCTCTTGGGTTGCAGCTCTAGGCATCAGGAGCGAGAGAGAGACTGGAGCTTTGAGGGTACAGGAGAAGCCAGGTCTCAAGCCTGTGTCTCCATTCTCCTGCAACTCTGGCTAATCACGGGGCGGTTTTCTTTCTGTTCTGGTGGCTGTTGGTGGTTGCATTGCTTTCTAACTCATGTCGGTTCTATTGGGAGATGATATGTACACAAGCCAAGAAATTAATTTGCTGAGGACACCAACTAGATAGTACCAGTTAGAGCTTGTGTCTTATGGTCCCCGAGGAAGCCCATAAATGAGCACAGAAGCAGAGGGCTGACCGTGTTTCCTGTGACTGACGACTGGTACCCAGGTTCTACTCAGAATCTGCCCTGCTACCAACTGATCATAGACTTTGAAATTTGACCTTTAGACATTAATTCCCATTGACATCACTGCTCACCCGCTTGCCTATTTAGGACACTGGGGGAAAAAAATCTCTTAACTCTGCAGTCTTTCAGTCTCTACTTATAAAATGGGAATTCAATATATTGATATCTATAAAATATTTGGAACAGGGCCTGGCACACAGTGAGCACTCAATAATCTAGATTCTAGGTTAATATCTAACAGTAATCACTGGGGTATTTGCAGGTGTGTCCTGCTGGCATTTGTCCCTTGAAACACTCTAACAAATGGTTCTGAAAATATAATAAATAAGACTGGGAAATGCTATGTACTGCTTTTCAGTCCAAAGGAATTTCAGAATGTATTAGCAATTGGAAAGTTCAGATGTGTCTTGGAACAAAGAGGCATCTTTAACTTTATTTAATATGACATTTCTCAGAATTTTTTTATCATGAGAAAACTCTGTTCATAATAATCTTATTCTATGTAAAGCACACGGGGTAACTGATTTCAGATTATGTCCGTAGTTGCTATGGACAAGTTGACTGAGAATAGGTTTCATGATGGCAACATGGTTGCAAATAGAGGAGAACGCAAGTATGCCCAGCAGCGTCCTGTCACTGTCATGAATTAATGAGACACACCAATTTTTAGAGGGAAAAAGCTGGTTTCAGATTATGGACTTTTACTCCACGGTCACCCCAAACCTGTCGACTGGGGTCTGTGATAAGAAGAAGCTAATAGTGGGGGTCATATTGAGGGAAGGCCTATTCACCTCAGGGTATCTGGGAAACGAAAGGAAAATATTGAGACCCCAATATTTTTTCAAAGGCACATTACTGATGACCCAACTTCCTACTCCTAGACCTCATATCCTAAAGGTTCCACCATTTTCCAGTCATCCCATAGGCAGACAGCCAAGCCTTTGGTATGTGTACTTTGGGGGAGATTCAATGTTTATATTATAGCACCCTTCTGTCTCTCAGACCAAGCAGTCAGACATAAACTCTCCACAACTCACCATGATGTCCCAGAGCAAGCCCCAGACAGCTAAGTTATCAGTCGGTCTGTAAACTGGACATTTGTGACTCAGCCAGTGGAAGTCAAAATCCGATTCTTAATATTGAGAGAGAGGGGCCTCTGTCCATCACGTTATTATGACATCATCAGATGTGACATCATCCGAGTGAAGAGATTGAAATCACACCTGGTGATCTTGGTTGAAGTTATTCTCCCCTGCTGAGTTCCCATTTGATCAGAAAGAGTTGGACCCTGGGCTCAGCTGCCCACCCCAGCAAGCCTCCTTTGCACTGCTTCTGCTGAGAGTCCCTAATTTCTCAAGTGTTCTCATCCCTCCCATTTAACAGGTACTTCTGCCTATCTCTAGGAGTTGTTAATGACTGAGACGTCATGCACAGATCCGGAGCCGCGCAGCTGGGAAGCGCTATGCCCTGGGGTCGTGATAGCTGTTTCAAGCAGTTACTATCTCAAAACTGCCCTTCCAAGTCACTACTTAGAGGCCCTAGAGTTCTCTCGTCCAGGCCCCAGGTCTGAGGCCTGGAACCAGCATGTCCTCCTACAACTAAGTCTTCCCTCTGAGGGTTGGATCATTTGTAGCATCAATTCTGCTTTTGTTCTGCTTCATAAATGGAGGCTTACTTTACTGGGCTTCTCTCTCCTGAAACCAGTCTTTGCCCAAATCAACCTTGCATGTGACTGCTGGAATGAGTGTCCTAAAAAACAACCGTATATTCTCTCCTGGCCCAAATACTTGCTGCTGTTAGGGTTTATGGACCAGGTCTGCATTTTATCTGTTCTTGTGTTCAAGGCTCTGGTTCTCTCTCCAAGGTTTGTTATCTTTTCCTTATCCTCTGCACCGGGCTCCATCTGTTCTGAGAATGTGCCCTGGTGTGTCCTACTTCATTCACAAGATGCCACATTCTCTTTTCCTGGAATGAATGAATTGTGCAATTATAGAAGTCATCAGAGTTTATTGAAGTCCAATTACGATGTTGCGGCCCCCTTCCCCAATCCCATTTGTGGTAATGCTGTCTTACCTGCTTGCCCTAAGGCTTCGGTTTCCACCTCTGTTACAGCCCCGTCATTGCTGCCCCGAGTTGGGATCGTGAGCCTGCAGGCGCTCAGAGGGCAGAGGCTGTGCCTTTCTTTCCATCATTGTGTCCTCATAGCAATCTGGATATGTGCATTGCATAAAGCAGTTCAATAAATATTTGCGGAATGAATGGGAGCCATTATATAATAAGAGAGTCCAAAATCCATCATTAAGAGTCCAAGTTTATGCTATTGCCCTTGATATAATGGCTGTTTTCGTTTTTAAAAGGAGGAATAAAACCCTTATGTAGATTGAGTTTTTATAGATCACACTTTAAATGCACCAAAGGAACTCAGTTTTTAAAGAAATTCTGCGGCTAATCTTTTTGCTGAGCAGGTGGGGAGGGATTAAGACAAACAAAGACTAGAACCTTTGCATATTGAATTGGTTAAACCAGGAAACATTTTTGAGGAGAAGTGCTTAGCAATAGATGAATTTATGGGGCTATGATGCTCCCAAATTCAGAAGCCCTGGTCACTCACAGGCAGGAGGAGTAGCAGAGACCAGAAGCCCTGCTCACTCACAGGCAGGAGTGGCAGGGATCAGCCTCAACCCCAGAGTATGACTCTATTTGCTGGATGGCTTTACCTTATTCTCTCTCTGTCACTGCAGCCCCCAGAAGATCATTTCAAGGTTCCTAGTGTCAGTTCACCAGGTCCCCTGGCATCCATGGGAACTTAGTGTTTGCGGAATCTTGACCAGTAGGCATGCTGGTGAGCATTCTACAGGGAAGGAGTGGGTACCAGAGAAATTAGCAGGGGAGTAACTTGGGTCTTTGGAAGAAAGGCCAACAGCATCTAGTCACCTTTCTTGTTGATTCTCTTCATTTTTAAAATGATAACTTTAAAGTAAAACCAAAACCAGCGTAAATCCTATAGAGTTCTAGGCAGCACAGATTCACACTGTACACAAAGAGAAAGGCGGGATATTTGGAAGCACAGCAGCTCCAAGGGCATGGGTATCATTCTTGCTCTTGTAATTTAGGTAAATAAAGTGTCCCCAGAAAAGCCTTCCCCAGTGACCAGTGCTAAAGCAGACACCCAGCTCCTCTGCCACAACAGTCCAATTTAATTTGCTTTCAGTATACATTTTAGCCGGCTTTCCACTTACACATTTGATTGTTTGTTTGTGGCTTATCTCGTCTCACCAGAATGGATGTTTGATGAAGACAAGGACCTCATTCACTCCTACAATTGTAACCCTTATGGAGAGTGCCTGGCTCAAAGTGAGCATCCAGAGATCACTGTTTTAAATAAATGAAGCATCTATGCACCTGAAAAATTTAGGTGTTGGCCAGCCATTCCACTTCTAACACACTTGTACATGCGTGAGTGCGCGCGCGCACACACACACACACACACACACACACACACACACACTCACTTCTCTGAGACAGGTTAGTTCTCAGAAGGCAGCCTGAGAGCTGCTGCCTCCTCCATTTGGAAAGGGCTCTGCTGTGCCTGTGGAAGACTGCGGAGTATCCAGGGGGCTCAGTAGCCAATGGAGGGGTCTACAGGCTGCTTTAACTGCAGGAAGATTCTTTATGTTGTGGTGTGAGCCATGTGATGGATTTCAAGACATTCCTTGGGTTTTTAAAAGTAATCCTACAGTTGCTTATGAATTTGGCTCCTTTGGAAAAATCTGAGGTCAACACAACCTAGTTTATGGTTTCAGGAGTCAGAAAGAACTACATTCAGTTCCCCATGTTGTCATTTATCAGCTGGGTAAGCCTGGATAAGAGGCCACTACTACCCCAGTCTATTTCCCTTTAGTGAAATAGACTTTTACATAAAGTCATTGTAAAGATTAAATGAGACTTTATAGTCAAATACCAGTTAATTCTGACTTGAACACAGTCAGAAATCAACAAATGTCGATTGGTGGTTACCATACTTCATGGGCAACTTCTTGAAGGCATGTTTGCTGTGCTCAAAACTTATGCCAGCTGATAATCTAGTAAAAACAAACCCCCTCATCACCTTGAAACTGCTCTCTAGAGCTACTGTTCTCAAATTCTGGAACCCTCCCCACAGCAGTTCTTGCCACAGTTTCTAATGTATTGCTCTGAAAAGATTTCAGACACATATGCTTTTGATGTATTGACTCAACCTGTTTTAAGGAAAAAGAAACTGGCCAGGTGGTGGTGATGCACACCTTTAATCCCAGCACTCGGGAGGCAGAGGCAGGCAGGTCTCAGTGAGTTTGAGGCCAGCCAGGTCTACAGAGTGAGAAACATGATCTCAAAACACCAAAAAAGAAAAAGAGAGAGAGAGAGAGAGAGAGAGAGAGAGAGAAGGAAGAGAGAGAGAGAGAGAGAGAGAGAGAGAGAGAGAGAGAAGAAAGAAGAAAGAAAAAAGCAAGCAAGCAAGCAGGAAAGTGGGTCTGCTCTAGGAACCTTTAATTGGGTCCTTCATAAGGAATAGATAAGTAGTGGGGGCTAGAAGAGCAGAGATCTCTGGAACACAACATATGTACAGAAAGTCAATAACAATTCTCTGCCATTAAGAAACATGGAGTAGGGCATTTCAAAAGGAATGTAAGTTGGGTATGGAAGCAGGAGAATCGTGGATTTGAAGCCGATTTGGGCTACATAACAAGACCTTGTCACTAAAACAAAGAAAAACAAATGAAAATAAATAAATAAACAAATAAAAAATTAAAAAAACCAAAGTCACACATATGTGCAGATATAGCATGGGAAGTAGGAAGGGTAGGAAATGGTTAAAATGATAATAATGATAACTGGGTGCAGAGTGGCTCGTTTGTAAGACTTCATAAGTGGGGGACAGCTGCACAAACACGCATTAAGAATAGCCTGGCACCGAGTCGCAGTTCAGCCGGCTCTCGGGCTGCTGTCTCTATCAGAGCCTCTCATGATTTGCTTCATTGCAACTGCTATCTGCTTCCATTTAATCGTTCCTAAAATGGGGATAATAAAAATGAAATGATGATGGTGCATATTGAGGCTGGAAGATGTAAACAGACCTCAAAGGGACTCTCTGGGTCAGAGCTGAAAGAGGTGACACAGAACTTGCAGCTCTTCTTGTCCCCGCAAAGACACCCGCAATGTGTTTTGTAACTCCATTCCCTTGCCTTCACCTGACAAAAGATCCCCTTCCACTGTAGAGTGGAAGTGTCCTTGGTGTGTCTGTGTCATTTTGAGAATGCCAAGAAATCATTGACACCTATAGTTTGGGACACTAAGTCACAGCCAGATCTTCCTGTGAAGGAAGTGTTAGACTTCAGGGCACATAGCATAGCACACTGAGCTCATAGATTCATGTGGGGGTCATCCAGGAGATGAAGGTAGCACAGAGGAGAAAAGGAACCCAAGACCTACAGCATCAATGACAACAGCATCATTAGCCTGAATATGCTACGGGTATCTAGAGTTACGATGTGTAAGACAAAAAGGGGTAGCTACTGCATCTGGTGGCAGCACACACAGGACAGGGAACTGGCTCTAGGAGTGGGTGCTCTGTGATGCTAGTACCTGAAAAATGATGGCCCTCTTCCACAGT